TGCAAGGGGCACATGGGTCGGACGCGGCCATCGGCGTCGCGGCCCATGACGCAGTGAGAGATGCAGGTCTAGGCAGACCGCGACACGAAGGCCTCGGACCTTGTCCCCAAGCACGTTGTTTGGCGGTTTGGAGGTTTGGTGGTTTGGTGGTTTTGAGGTTTGGTGGTTTGGAGGTTTGGCGGTTTTGAGGTTTGGTGGTTTGGTCATTTGGAGGTTTGGTGGTTTGGTGGTTTGGAGGTTTGGTGGTTTGGTGGTTTGGTGGTTTGGCGGTTTGGTGGTTTGGTGGTTTGGTCATTTGGAGGTTTGTGGCTTGGTGGCTTGGTGGTTTGGAGGTTTGGCGGCTTGGTGGTTTGGAGGTTTGGCGGTTTGGAGGTTTGGTGGTTTGGTGGTTTGGTTGTTTGGTGGCTTGGTGGTTTGGAGGTTTGGTGGTTTGGTTGTTTGGTGGCTTGGTGGTTTGGAGGTTTGGCGGTTTTGAGGTTTGGTGGTTTGGTCATTTGGAGGTTTGGTGGTTTGGTGGTTTGGAGGTTTGGCGTTTTGGTGGTTTGGAGGTTTGGCGGTTTGGAGGTTTGGTGGTTTGGTGGTTTGGTGGTTTGGAGGTTTGGAGGTTTGGTGGTTTGGAGGTTTGGTGGTTTGGTGATTTGGTGGTTTGGTGGTTTGGTGGTTTGGAGGTTTGGCGTTTTGGTGGTTTGGAGGTTTGGCGGTTTGGAGGTTTGGTGGTTTGGTGGTTTGGTGGTTTGGAGGTTTGGAGGTTTGGTGGTTTGGAGGTTTGGTGGTTTGGTGATTTGGTGGTTTGGTGGTTTGGTGGTTTGGAGGTTTGGCGTTTTGGTGGTTTGGAGGTTTGGCGGTTTGGAGGTTTGGTGGTTTGGTGGTTTGGTGGTTTGGAGGTTTGGAGGTTTGGTGGTTTGGAGGTTTGGTGGTTTGGTGATTTGGTGGTTTGGTGGTTTGGTGGTTTGGAGGTTTGGCGTTTTGGTGGTTTGGAGGTTTGGCGGTTTGGAGGTTTGGTGGTTTGGTGGTTTGGTGGTTTGGAGGTTTGGAGGTTTGGTGGTTTGGAGGTTTGGTGGTTTGGTGATTTGGTGGTTTGGTGGTTTGGAGGTTTGGTGGTTTGGTAATTTGGAGGTTTGGTGGTTTGGAGGTTTGGTGGTTTGGTGGTTTGGTGGTTTGGTGGTTTGGAGGTTTGGTGGTTTGGTGGTTTGGAGGTTTGGTGGTTTGGTAATTTGGAGGTTTGGTGGTTTGGAGGTTTGGTAATTTGGAGGTTTGGTGGTTTGGAGGTTTGGTCGTTTGGTGGTTCAGGAGATGCTTCCCATTTACTCCCTGCAAGAATCAGCGTTCAACCCCCCAAACCAATCCAAACCACCAATTAAGGGTTGCTTGACCAGTGGCGAAGGGAAGACACGGATACACTCCCTGTCACGTTGCCATAGCACCTGCCAGAGGGTCCATTGAAGAGAAAGTTGATCTTCCATCAACAGAAGCCCTCAAAAAAGGGGAACGAGGTGCATAGGAGGCAGATTCCTCACCTTATACCCGTGCGCCCACGAGGTTTAAAGCCAGCTCTAGGCTTCCGAAGGGAGGTACCCAACTTGTGCGGGGGCTGACAGTTCTCTGAATAAAAGGACAACAGACGCCACTCGAATTTGCAGCGTGCCTGTTTTCGGTGAGTGTTCCGAAACACGTAGTCGTACTTTTCTATTGTGGACGAAATCATGCATTAGCTAGGATGGATAAAACTCCTACATATATTGGTACAAACCACCTACCCACTGGTGCAGGATGTTGTCTATCTCCGAGGTTGGCGAGGTCAAAATAACGAAATCTTGTGATGCTCACATGCTGCTGAACATGTCTTCAAGACGGGACTGACAATTGCTGCTTCCCGAATCGAGCGCACTTTGTCGATTTGGGAGTGTCTTTGTTCCTGGTACCTTGTTGGGGTTTGAAAGGGAAACCATAAGGCACCCAAAGAAGGCGGGGTCCTGGAACGTGCATTACATGGGAGAAGCGGATGTTGCCCACACCCTTTCGTCTGCCGAATTGGCCGAACGCAATGGCCCAGGGTACCATATGACAGGGACGGAGGGAGCGAACCCCCTCAGTATTGTATAAGCCACACCTCCATCTTGGTTTCTCAAGGGAACTGCTCAGCTTGGGTATGTGAAGAAAAGTGTTTCCTGGCATGTTGAACTCTAGGTCAATGCTGAACCCTAAACCATGGATTTGACATGTTTTTGATTGGTCATCACTTTGGTCAAGGGCAGAATGTAGGATATGTCCAAACGTTCACCCAGCCTTCAGGCGCGTCTGCTTTTTTGGAATTGGTACCCTTGGGGGTTGTTTCATTGGAAACCAAAAGGAACCGGTTGATGACCCCCTCACCATGTGGCAAGTTCTACAGGGGCACCCCGTTAATTGACATTCAAAGCAACTCACTACTCTTTGCTTACCACTAAAATTGCTTTCCTAAAAGATATAAAGTCCATGAACCCAGGAAGTGACTGAGGCAACGTGTCATGTCAGTTTCTCTCACGGAGACCTTTTCGTTCCGTGAAAATTTTAAGGCCCCGGTCACCACAGCTCTCACCGAGGCGCATCGTAGCCTGGGATTCCACGGCCGGGTCGATTTGTATTTTTCCCTTGGGAAATCGAGCGAATCCAAGGGAAAACCAAAGGAACACCAAGGGAAAACCAAGGAAAATTATTGACGATGGGCACGTCAAACACATGTTAGGCGCTTGACCGGCAAACTTTGAACCTTTGCATCGGAATGATTTCTGTCTGCCAAATCTTGCTTGCAATCCCTTACCATGGGCTCCCTTGGAATACTTGATTCCTGTTTTCATTGGCCCAAGGACTGTGTCACTTTAAGTTACATTTTCCAAGGGTTTGGCAGACAAAAACTTGCCGGACTTTCTTTTCCCACCTGGCGAAATATGTTGGATAGAGAAGCTAGGGCCTTCAACACAAGGACTCCCCTGGTGGAAAATTGGGGCCGGGGTCGAACGGAGCACGCATGGTTGCACTATGTGTGCTGTGGGTTCACCAATGGCTTTTGTGGCCATAGCGGCTTTGAGATTGCTGCGTACTGTTCCACCCAAGCGTTGCAAGGCGTGACTACGCACCAGCAGGCAACTGCAACCACGCTCGTGTGAACGCACGCGTTTTGGCATGTTGGTTGCGGTTGCACGCTTGACGATGTTTCATGAGCTTGTGGCCTCATGACATCTTGTATGTGACGTGTGCAACATGCCCATGGCTTTTGGCGCAAGATCTGTTCAAATGAACACCGCCTGTGGTTGCCATGAGTTCTGATTCATTTTGTCCATGTGTATTTGTTTGCGGCGCCGTGGTTCGGGGTCACTGGATCTCCCCAGTTGACGCCACTTTTGGAGGCTCCAAAACAAATTGGCTCGGGGAACCCTTTCTGCCATGCAGCACTGGGCCCGATCAAGGCCATTGTAGAGCCGTTTCCTCAGATCGACACAATCGACGGATACCCCGAACCAGCCGAGACGCACCAAGTTCGCATGTGGTTTCCAGCCTATTTAAAGTTCACCCGTGGATCCAAATTAGATAGGCTCGAAAAGGAAATTGCATGTTGGAAGCTCGAGGCTTTGGCGCTGGCAAGAAGGGAGTTGCCCCAAAAAACGCAACCAAGTGGTATGGCATGCTTGTTTGGGCTCGGTAACAAACGCTCGCGTGGGTGGAAAAAGAGCCTTTCCGGCTCCAGGTAGAGATTGCCATTGCCAAGGTTCGAACAAGGCTGACCTCAAGCTCAGGGATATGGTCAGCCGTCACAGGCAATCAGCACACCTCTGGCTTGCCGACCCCTGCCAAGTCACGGTTTCACGCCATAATGAGCTCGACATTCATCCTGGCACTCAGCGAATACCCCACATGGAAACATGAACAGCGTTTGGTCGAATAAGATGCCGACTGCTGTATAAACAGGGTTGACCGCACTTCAAGGACTTGTAAACAAGTGGGGTCGCTTGGATTCTCGTATGCCAAGATAAGCCCAGAAGAGAACAGGCTGTGGCCGTGGACTTCCAAAATGAAACCCAGCGGGAGCCCACCGAGGTCTGTCGGCTTCACAAGTTCACTCCAGAACAAGGTCTCAAGTATACGCCTTGGAAAGATGCCAAGCCATGCTGGAGGGCCCTTTGTTCATTGCAACCCCGCCTAACCCGAGACCTTAAGGCCTCATTTGGGGTTGCTGGAATTCTGCGATGTTTAGCAGTCCGGAGTCCTAGGTGTTCAACATGTTTGGAAAGCCCCCCGTAAAGTGACAATGCTCTTCTCTTGAGGTTGTGCTGTGGCTGGGGATGCATGTTCAGCGCGTGTAAGTAGCTTGTGACCCCGGGTAATAAGGGAACCAACCACTGCTCCTCGCCTACTTGGGATAGAACGGCTGCAATGCTTGACTCAAAAAGCGAGCAAAAAGGCGACCAAAGCACAAACAACATACAAACTCAAGCCAACAGCGAAAACGCTTTCCGCAATGCCAAATAGGTTCCCATTGCAGCTTAATTACGCCCCAACAAACCAATTTGCATGCTGAGCAACGGTGCTCTGCAGGTTTTTTTATGCCAAAATGGGAGGGGGCGTTTCCCTTCCATCAAAAACCTCCCTGTAAACCAACCAACCACCCCTTTTCAGTTTGGGGCAGAAGGTGCTCCACCCCCCCTCCCCTTCCCGCATCCAGCCATCCGCCTGGCACCAGTTCACCCAGCGCTGCTCACAGGCCCTGGGCTCATCTGGGCGCAGCTCCACCTTGCACTGCCTCGGAGTTTTGGGCTCGGACAGGACGAATGGAGCAAATGAGTGGGAAAGAAACAAACAAAATAACAGATTGGCGTTTTTGGGCAAGTGCGAGTTGAAACCAGGTGGAAACCCCTTCCCAAGTAGATTCATGAACGCCCAAATTTAATCTCCGAAACAAACCTCACACACATACAAGGGTATTTAAACCAATAGAATGGCGTGGGGTACTTCAAAGCCAAATTGAGTCGTGTTCATAGGAGAGCACTAGCAGTTATTCACCCCGGGATTCCCTTTGTGAGCAATTGGGCGAGGTGTTTTTGTTGAAGTGTTGTGGTGAGGATTCTTTCTTTGATCAACACAAGATGGGGATTTCTGTAGTTGAGCCAAAGAAAGAGCACGCCCTGTGATGTCAAACAACCGGCGCTGATCAAAACAGCGCTTTCTCAAACACTCCCCTCAACGAGAATACATTTGTCAGCGGGTAGGGAAACTGTTGCGACTTCTTGAAACGTCAACCGGCGGGATAGAACTGACTCAAATCGAAACCCGGTACGTATTAAAATGGTCTACCCAGAACCATGCAAGGAAGCTTGATTGTGGCGCATGTGATTTTAGCGCGCCCCCGTCCGACTTCCGGCCCTACGCCGCTGCGCGCCGCAAACGCAGGCGCAAACGCTGGGCGCCCCTTTTTGCCGCTCACTGCAGATCGAGGTCCGCCAGCGCGGCCGAGATCTCGGCGAAGGACAAGCGGCCAGTGCCATCCTGGCAGGTTGGAGAGATGAGTTTGGATGGAAATCTTAAAAACTCTGAAGCTAAATTTGGTCGGAAGACAAATGAACACAGAATTAGGCATTGGAATTGGTTGGGTCTGGTTGGGTTGGTTGGCTTTGGGAGCAACTTCCTCGGGGTAAGGACTTCTGGGCCCAAGGGTCTTCAACATCCAAAGCCGGGTTCAGGCAGATGGTTGAAGGGATGGCATCAACCCCTAAACCAAATGAATTCGCTGACCAAGGTCACGCTTTTGCCGATTTGCAAACGGATGGCTTGCGCTTGAGGTCCTATTCAGGGCTGGCACTCCTCTTTAATGCGATTTGTTTTCTATAGTTGCAAAACTTCCTTCGGCTACTTTCTCGCTTGATTGTTGGGATTCCCTAAGGGCCTTCCCTAAACTCCACATTTCTCAAAGTGTTTGCATAAACAATTCAGCCCCTTGCCAGTCTAGATTCAAGAACCCTCCACATTTTCTACATGAACTATCAGGTGGTTCCAAAACAAACAATCCCCAACTGAATTCACGAATTTCTCTTTTCAGGGCTAAACCCGTTTGTTTTTGTTCGCTCTTTGAACAATTCATGCTCCTGGTCAATGCGATCAAAGAGACGATCCAGCTGCTGCATCTGTTGCTCAGTAACCCGACCCTGGTGGTACAGCATGTAGAACTGAAACTCCGCCCGCGAGATCTCGCCATCCCCATCCTCGGATTCTCTTGAAACCAGTCACAATCAAAACTTGGCGTTGCCTCAAAATACCCAAAACCATTGGTTTCCTTTGGAATTCTCCAGGGGGCTTGAACAAAATTACGCTTGGTTTTGGAGCAAAGAATCAAAGCACTTATTTCTCGCCGGGGACCCCCTTTACACTTCAGCTTCAGATACCCGGGAACCCTTTTTGGTTACAGCTGGAAAGGAAACCCGCCAACTCGCGGAGTAGCTGAAACCTGGATCAAGGGAAATGGACAACCATGCGGATGCTTCCTAATCTTTTGTCACATCCCCTGCTAAACGTGAATAGCTTGTGGGTAAAATGGAGACCCAACCATAAACCAGCTAAAAACAGCTGGTAACCTAAGGAACCGGATGGCTGGGAGCCACCAAATGATCAGGTAAAAACCAATTAGATGTTTGGATTGGTGGTTTGGGATTTGAACCCCTGGTTCTTGTCGAGAGTAAATGGGGCACTACCCCCTAACCGCATCTAAACCAACGATTCGCCAACAAGGGAAGCCTTGGTGGGGATTCCCTTTGCCCTTCATCTACACATACCTATACCATTTTGGGGAACTTAGATCAAAGGAAACACCGCCGGCTTTGCGGAGCTTGCCTCAAACAGTTCGACAAATCCAATTGGCGAAGGTTAATGGGACACTATCCCGTAACCAAACCCACACCACAATGCGGCTACCCTCCAAACAACGAGGGAAGCTACATTGACACATAAGGGTTGATCAAATGACCATTGGGGGAAACCACCAAAAGGCTGATATGGGAAAAGTGACCCATGGTCATTTGAGGGGGCGCCGGCCGACATATCGTACGGGTCAAAATTAAACCACCAAAGAACCACAGGCTTTAGTCCATGTTTCCATTTACCAGGGCAACCCATGTTGGGCACCTATTCTTGACCCACAGCCATATGCGTGTGGCTCAAAATTAAACAGGGGTACGCAGGTAAGTTTGGTCCATGTTTCCACTTACCAGGGCAATCAATTTTGGAATTCGCCACAGCCAGGAGCAAAACAAGAAAGAAGAAGCCCATGTGTCCAAATCCCTTCGGCTGACCTCCAACCCCCAACCCCACCTCCACTTACCAGGGTTCCATTTTGGGCTCCAGTTATTTGACCCACAGCCAAATATGGATCAACCACCTCCACCCTTCGGCTTCGCGTCTTCGTCGATCTGTCTGAAGCCACGGAAGTTCAGCCGTCCGTGAGACCGGCGCCAGGCGGCCAGGCTCTCCGACACCGCGGCCACCAGCCTGCGGAACAAGGCGCTTGGGGCTTTGGGTTCCTTTCGGTTCCTTTGAGTTCCTTTCAGTTCCATTGGGTTCCTTTCGGTTCCTTTGGGCTCCTTTGGGGTCCTTTGGGTTCCTTTGGGGTCTTTTGGGGATTTTAGGGTTTCTTATGGATTTTTAAAATTCTGAGGTTCCTTAACCCTTTCGAGGGTTCCTTTGGGATGCTTAGGGAGCCTTGAGCAACCCCACCTTGCACCACCACCCCTTAGGGATTCCCAAAACTTTACAACCACCAGGGATAAAACTCATAAAGTAACCACGTTAACAGGACCACAGCGGAATAAGAGAACAATCACTTCACAACCATGACTGGCACCCTCTTCCTGATGACTGATGGGAGGTTGACCCCTTTAAGAATCCGCTTTTTTTTTTCCGGGTAAACCATCAGGCTGCAAGTTGTTAAACCCTCTCTGGACATGGGTAAATTATCAGGGAACCCTTGGCCGACACCCTTGGCCTACAACGGAGAAGAACTGGGTGTCCTTTTGAAATAGACAAAACTGGTAAATGATTGGGGCACTCATAAACTGAGAAACCGCTTTAAATCTAGCTAAACCACCAAGGGATAAAACCACTTACAACCAATCAGGAGCATTTTTAGGTTGTGCTGAAGTTATGGAGGTTCTCTACCACGTACAGGTGACCCAGGCAGCAAAAGGAAACCCTTTTCGGGGTTGATGATTAGTGCGCTTCCGCCGACACAGGGAGCAAGAATTGGTGCCACCGAACAGCTGGGGAACCAACCTTTAAATGGGTTAACGAAGATAACCGATCACTTCGAAGCCTAGTTTAACCTGAAGGCTGCTAGGTTTAGAACCAACAACCATAGATACAACCATGATCGTTGTAAGGGACCAACCTTAGAACCCAAGTTTCGCTATCCGCATACAACCAATCGGATTCCCAGGACCACAGAAAGCAATGCTCGCAGTGGGCTTTTGCACCGTGCAGCCTTGGTTCAGTGTCCCTCCACATCACGCATTTCAACATTCGCAGCATGAGCGGCGGTCAAATTGTGCTTTCTCAAGAGGACACGGGACAATATGCTTTACAACCCTTGGCATGGCAGCAAAAACAAACAGCCCTCAACCAACAAAGAACAGAACCAACAAAAACTAAAACACTAAACACGTGCCAACAACAGTGAAGCATCGGCGTGCTTTTCCTCTCAAACAATCCAAACAACGACCCTCCCACCAACTAACATGGAAGTGCAAAAAGGCCCTTTCCAAGAGGAAAGGAGACGTTCCACAGGGGTCTGTGCACTTTCATGTTATCTGGTGGGAGCCCGAAATCCTCTCAACTAGGTCCTGCAGTAGAGAGGTTGGAAATCAAGGTACCCTTTTTCTCCGTATTCTGTTTTGGGGAACCCTCCCAACCAAAAAGGGGGTGAGAAAGGGCACTGGGGGACCTATTCGAACATCCCGCCTCACAAAGGCCAGCACGCCGAGCACCATCCACACGCAGGCCAGCAGTCTTCCGAGCTCCGAGCGGGGCACGAAATCCCCGAAACCAACCGTGGAGAAGGTGACCACGGCCATGTAGATGGCCTGTGGGCATTGTTTTTTTTCAATTCTTTTTTTTGATCCTGTAAAGTGAACACCTCGTTTTTGTTTTTCTCCGCAAAAGAGAGGTGTAAGGTTTGCTCTCCCTTTGAGACCACCCAGAAGGGTACCAACTACACAAATGGATGCCCCTAAAGGGTAAGAAGATCTCAAGGAACAACCAACCAGCAACACAAACGGGCCCCTCATACAGGAGACCATAATTTTGGGAGTCTCAAAAATGTGGTTGACGGGTGGCGACGATGATGGTCTTCTTCGAACCGCCAGAGGCCACACATCGCTTCTCCTCAGGGTTGCTCCTCGACCGAATCGCTGTTAGGGAAGAACCGGTCCCGAAGGCACGTTGGTACGGGGCAAAACTGGCTGTTGATTCTGAAGAGGGAACCCACCACTTGGGAGTTCTTCCCTTGAGCGTCCTTTCACCAAAACGAAAAGTAACACCCAAACACAGGATTCATACCAGGCTTCCTCGCAACACATCACCTGAAACTCGATAATTGGACCCGGGAATTCTCTGGGTTTGTCTCACAATGCGGGAACCTTTGCTTGATGGCTTCAAAGGGAAAGCAAAGGAAACTAACCACCTGGAGGGAGGCACGAAGCCGCCAAGATGGTGCCCCAAAACTCAGGGAGACATTTGATTTCACCCATGTCCCATCTGCTT